AGAGAGAGAGAGAGAGAGAGAGAGAGAGAGAGAATCTACTGACCATCACATGTCCTCTCAACTGACCCCGTCTATTCACCTTTTCCTCAGATGGACATCTGCTCGGCCACTGTGTATTACAACTCCCGCCAAACTCCAAACTACGACGTCTCCAACGTTAAATGCAGAGTGAGTACTCTTCAACAGTTTTCCTCGCTCAGTTGCCATGTTGCATCCAAATCAGCCCGAGTTGGTCCTAACAGGTAGGGCCGAAACAAGCATTTAAAACCATAACTTGTGTCGATGGGGACGTAATAAAAAGTCATCCAGTGACCTCTGTTGGTAGTTGAAATGTGACTTTTGGTAGGTCTGAGTCTGAGGGCAACTTCCTGTCTGTCTTTTTGTGAATTTACCCATTCTGTCTCGTTTGTCTGTGTATCTCTGTCTTTCTGTCTCTGTCTGTGTCTACCTGTATCTCTCTGTCTGCATCTCTATCTGTGCCACTCTGATTGTGTCTGTCTGTCTGTCTATCTGTACTGCTGTCTATCTATACATCTGTGTCTCTGTCTGTCTGTCTCCCTTCCTATCTGTTTGTCTATCTGTATGGCTGCCTGTCCATCAGTCCGTCTGTCGTTTTGTATCATGAATGGCTTTCTCTCTGCCCGTCTGTCTTTCTGTATGTCTCTGTCTGTCTGTGTCTCTACCTCTATCTATCGGCTCCAGCATCTCATTAGCCAATCTCCCTTTCCCCTCCCAACTCGTCACATCCCTCTCCTGCAACACCTCGGTTTTCCTTCTCACGGCCACCTTCCATCCTCCCCTCTTTAGGGTGTCCAGACAACCCGTTCCCTTTTGGGAGGAGACGAGACCGTGTCCTTTAATGACGACGATGTTCAGAAAGCCTTCCAGGTCGTGGCCGAGAAAGTCAACTCTGAAAAAGGCAAAGAAATCTTCCTTAAGGGAGCCTCTGCCCAGGTCACCAAGCAGGTATTGGAACTTGTAGCAATGAGCGAGAGAGAGAGAGAGAGAGAGAGAGAGAGAGAGAAAGAAAGAGACATCCAAGCAAAAAACAAACACACAAACA